ATCGATAGCTGTTACTCTTTATGTGATGATACTCGATATTCTATTTTCCTGGACGAACGATCGACACGTGCCAAATGAAATACTACCCTTGCATACATACATATATACATATATATATGTATATATATATATATATTTTTACTCCCATAACGAAATCGTAATATGCATTAAATTATGGACCATTAATCGTACATGATGATTTAACATTTATGGAATCGTGCTTTTCGTAATCTTTCATCTAAATGGCATAATTCTCTCATTTTCTAACTTACTTCTCCAGCTTTATTGAATAATAAAAGAGAAAGAGAGAGAGAGAGAGAGAGAGAGAGAGAGAGAGAGAGAGAGAGAGAGAGAGAGAGAGAGAGAGAGAGAAATAAGCCAGGAAGATAGATAAACTTAGTTAACAAGAAAGATTAATAATTAAGTAACTCATTCGAGTTAATTGATGTTACAAAGTTCTCTCTCTTTCTCTCTCTCTCTCTCTCTCTCTCACTCTCTCACTCTTTCTATCTATCTATCTGTTTCTTTCTTTTTTTTTTTCACATTTAATATAAAAGTAAGAAAGTAATGATAAAAGATCGAAGCCATATGAGAAAAAAGAGAAGAAAAAGGAAAAATCAATAATTAAAGAAAACGATAAAAAGAATTTTATGATTCCCCATTAATAAAATACGTTCGATAATAATAATAATTATGATATTAATGATGATAATGATGATGATGATAATGAACGTTAGTTAGAATCATCGTGCTTTCGAAACCCACGATTACTCGAACGTTAAGGGCTTTGACGTTGCGTCGGACTGTCTGAACGGTTTAAAGCCCTTGTCAGATGCAATTGCTATACTATACCAAAATGGTGAATATATATAGGTGTATATATATATATATATATATATATATATATATTAGAGGGAATATAAGACGATAGAAGATAAAATCAAATGTAAATTATGGGAAAGATTACGTTGAGGAGTTCAAGGTTCAGAAGGACATAGATTCGCGTAAAAGGAAAATGCAAAGGAAAAGAGAAGCAAGAAAAAGGCAAATTTTTTTTTAATTTTTATAATAAGGAAAAATTAATAATAACATTAACTATTTTTAACCTTATTATTAATAATGAGGGTTAATAAATATTATAAAGGAATGATTTACGAATTTAAAACATCTTTTTATATGATACAGATGAGATAAGAAGAAAAGAAAAAACAAAGAAAAAAAGAAAAGATAAGATAAATATTAATAATAATCTGTGATAAAAGAGAAAGAGAGAGAGAGAGAAAGAGAGAGAGAGAGAATGATTGCGAACCGTCGTTAAACTATTGGAAAGAAAAATCCTATGGAACTCACCATTAGGACTTTTTTCGAAAATCGATGCAGAAATAATGCTGACGAAGTAGCGAAGGAGATAAGCGGAGGAAATGGAGGAGAGAGGAGGGGAAGGTTTAGTAACGGTACGACTCGGGTGTGTTAGCGTAGTTGGGTCTCAAATAAAGGGGGTGGTGGTTGGATCAATACCAACTGCCCCTATTCTTTGGTTGTATGCATGCGGTGTAGTATCTGAGTAAGAGAAAGCGCGCACGAGAGAGAGAGAGAGAGAGAGAAAGAGAGAGGAATGCACGTACACGAGCGCAAGCGTGTAAAAGCAAAAAAGACATAGTATCAGTACATACGTGTATGTATATACATGAATAGTAGATAGACATACGTCTCTATGTATTTGTAACTTCGGGGAAACAAGCAAAACACATCGTACAGGGAGCTGAGTTTGTCTGAACATTTTCGTCGATTATCACTAACATCCTCTTTCGATCGTGTACGTTTATATTTTACTTGTTGGTAATACCGAAAAAAAATTATAAGTCTAAAAAAAGAAATAAAATATTTTCATGAAGAATACATGTAGACATGAAGAAATTTTTCGATAACTTTTCTTTCTTTTTTTTTTTTTTGTTTAATAATTTTCACGTACATACGATGATGATCACGTACGATGATGCAACTTATGTAACTGTTATTATTCGTCGTGGACGTTTCCATTATTTTTACTGCGTTATAGAAATGATACGAAATATGATAGAAATTTTTATATATCTGTTGTATACGCTTTTGTGTGTACGTGTGTATGTGTGTGTTTGTGTGCATGTGGAAGAGAATATGTTTACTAAAATTCCTTGAAATATCGGATCTTGTAACGTGTGCGTTTTTATAAAACAATGAATGAGAAAGTCGAGATACACATTTTCTATCATCATATCTCCTCAATATTTTTATTTCTTTCTTTCTTTCATATAAAGCAACAATTCGAATGGTTTTCTCGATCAGGGACATAAAAAAAAAAAAAAGAAAAAAAAAATAAACAATAAAAAAGAGAAAACTTTCTTAGCTAATAATCGACGACAATCTATCGATAAATTTCGAATCGAATATCACGTTTCACAATTTCTCTTTAAGTAGATAAGTAAGTATCTAACATATATGTAAACGTTAGTACGTATTCCATGTTCTCGAAACTTTTGCAAATGTTTGAAAATGTAAAATTACGAATAAGAACAAATCAATATCTGTTCGAGTATCTAAACTTATAAGGTAGAATTAGAAATTAGAACGAATTGAACGTAAAACACTTTTTTTCTTTTCTTTATTATTTTCTTCTTCTTCTTCTTCTTCTTTGTCTCGCTTTCAGTTTATTAACGTCAGTTTGTAAACTTATTTTATTTTCAACCATTATAATGTGATATTCACGATCAGATTAAAACTAGGTAAGAAACTTCGTGGCTTTACGTATTCTAAATATTTCTAATATTACATGCATAACAAGGATAGTATACATATGTAAAAAAAAATATGAGAAGGGGGCTAGTAACACGTAGAAAGTCTCTATTCGTTAACTTACAAGAGCACGCTAACATGTTGTTCGATATATGGTATAAATATCGTAAAGCTTTGTCATCGTTTGTTGTAACACAATAGTAAAATCGATCTAACGTAATGATACTTCTAAAGATGATTCTAATGGGTCCTTTAACATTTAAAATAAATTTACCCTTTCGACTCCTTTCTCATTTTATATCATCCGACGATAAATATTTCAATTAAATTAATGAGATTATTTGTAACAAGGTAATTTCCGATCCCGATATAATATATTACAAGTCCTATAATACTTCGAGAGAATAAATTATAATGTAGGACGTAATATACAGTTACATACTAACATACATACATACATACATAAATAGTATGTACGTGCTCGATATCTTTAGAATACATTCCTAACTCTCTCCTGAGAAATTATATGTCACATGCATACGTACTTTCGCATAAAGTATCATAATATTCACATTCCATAGAGAGAAATATAGAGAGAGATAGATAAATAGAGAAAGAGAAAGAGAAAGAAAGAGAGAAAGTACAAATCAATGTTGCTACTGGTCAGGCAAACCAACGAAGCCAAACCTTCGAGAGATAGGTGTGAAACCTTCGCGATGACGTAAGAACATTTCCTAGAAATCATGATTGCAAAGACTATAAACTGCGTATCATTGAAACGCACACATTTCTTTTTTCTCTCTCTCTCTCTCTCTCTCTCTCTCTCTCTTTTCTTTTTCTTTTTTTCATTTTCTCTTTTAATTCTATTAAACTTTTCAAAAAGATGAGCCTAAATGACCTATATATGTCTTTAAGAATTTATTTAGTAAACGAATTCATATCGTATGGAATATAGATATGAATGAATAAAAAATGGAGCTTTTCTCATTTGAATAAATGAAATTTGAATAAATTTAATACATCGATCAATTGATCGTTCCATCTAACGTAAGTTAATTCCAAGAATGTAAGGGATTACTATCTACGAATACGGGATTATACGAAGAATGATGTTTCGCGGTGGCTTAGGAACATTGATTCACGAGGCACCGTAAAATCTGATGCCTTAGTAGCTAACGGATGAAATCGAAGATCGACCGTGTTGCGATGACCTACATTTCGAACTATAGTAAGTTGTTACAAAATCAAAAGTCCGCTCTCTACAAGTTATTAATGTGCTTTAAGCTTATAAACGAGAAAGGAAAAAAGTAGAGAGAGAGAGAGAGAGAGAGAGAAAGAGATAGAGAGAGAAAGAGATAGAAAGAGAAAGAGAAAAGAGAGAGAGAGAGAGAGAGGGAGAGAGAGGTGTGCATGTGATTCCAAAAATAAAAAAAGAAAGATAAGAAAAACAATAAATGATTCGTTTATTTTCAAAGAGAAAAAGATAATGAACGATCTTGATTGTTCATTGCTTTTTCTCTTCCTTTCTTTCTTGGTTTCTCTCTCTCTCTCTCTCTCTCTCTCTCTCTTTCTTTTTTTTCTGTATCTTTTTATCAGCGATCGAACGAATACAACGTAATATTGAATATTTTTCGTAAATCTTGATCGTATATATTCCTATACTACGAGAACGTAAATTAATTTTCATGTACGTAAAGTTTAACACAACTCGACGGATAAAATAAAATTCATGCAATAATATTTCTCTCTCTCTCTCTCTCTCACTCTCTCTTTCTCTCTTTTTATCTCTACCTCCATCCATCTTTCGCTCTGCCGATGTTTCTCATTTTTCCTAAGGGGGTTCCCTCCTACATTAAACTTGTTACGAGTTTCCACGGGGAAAATCGCGTTTCGTTTTAAAACGCGAAATAAAAACAAGTTTTTAAATAGAGTTATCCAATGGCAAGAGAGAAGAGATAAGGAGAGGGGAGAGGACGAGCGACTAAAGGGGTTTAGGCGAATCCTCGAAGCGCATCTATACGCTCGCTCTCTCTCTCTCTCTCTCTCTCTCTCTCTCTCTCTCTCTCTCTCTCTCTCTCTCTCTCTCTCGGTATAGAGGAGAGAAGGAAAAAGAAAATAAAAAAAAAGAAAAAAAAAATGTCTTTTCTTACAGATAAGAGTTTTATGTACCTAGTCTCGTAGGAAATGGTGAATAAAGGAAATGGGGACGTTATCAGTTACATAATAGATACGCGTGTGACGAATGTGTCGCGACGTAGGAATATAAATCCATCGAGCCAATATCTCGAGTTGGAAGAGAAAAGCCAAGATAGAGTAAAAGAGAGAGGAAAACTAAAGAGAAGGAGTGTGAGAGAGAGAGAGAGAGAGAGAGAGAGGGAGAGAGAGAGACATAATACGTAGGAAAAATAGGAAAAATCATGGGTGCGTTGTATAAAAAGTAAAGAGCAGAAACGATGTGGGAAAAACGAGTAAGTGAGAGAAAAATGTTCAATAGAAATTCTACTTTTTCAATCTATAGAAAAGCCATCACGACGGGAGAGTACCTTAGCAGATTAAACCAATCGTGGCAACTAGATATTAAACGTCTAAAAAAAAAATATAGTTTCACTTACATTATCGGAGACTATATTTTTTCTAGACTGATTCTTTCGAGAGTTAATGATTAGGAAAATTTTCCCCGGCACCGAACGTCCGTCTACCATATCAAGAATATAAACTGTATCTTTGTAAAATTGAAACGACGCTAAAATGTCATTCTATTATTTGCGAAAATGGAGTAGAATGATAAAACGAAAGACGTGCGATTGCAAGAGACTTTGAGACTTTGACTTTGACAGTAGCATTTACACGTGCAAGAAAATCGATCGATCATTGGCCTTCCATCGTAAAATCGATTAATCACAGGTAAGATCAAAAATGTTATACATATTTATTAAATTTTAATGGATAAAAAAAAAAAAGAAAAAGAAAAAAAAAATAACGACATCAAAGTTATTATACAGTTTTACAAGAATTTTTTTAAATTATTTTAATTATTTTCTTTTTTCTTTTTATCAATGTGTTTACTGTTCTTCACACACCCCCTCCCTCCATCCACTCCCCACCTTGTTATCGAACAAAACATTATTGTCCTTATTGTCGGACAGTAAAGATGTCAACCTTGTGCGTTTCGTATTTGAATTGATGTTTATTATATTGATTTTACTCGTTAGAAAATATGCATGTACTACGGACATGAATATTTAAAAGAAAAAGAAAGAAGGAAAAAAGAAAAAAAAGAGAGAGAGAGAGAGATTCGTGAAATCAAGAATGTTCGAAAACTTCACCGGACAGAATTATGAAGTGAGAAATTATGTAAGTTCGAGAAAATCTTAACATAAGATATGAAATTTCAAAAAGCACATTATTTGATGACATATAACATCTAAAAAATCTTAAAAAGAAATTACATTGCAACTTACTAAATTAGATAAATTTACAAAAAAAAAAAACTTTTTAGAATCTGCAAAAAAAAAAAATAAAAAACTACATTCTTACTTCGTATATCTACCAATAAATTGATTGAATAGAAATAAAAATGAGAAGAAAAAGAAAAAAAAAGAAAAAAAAAAAGAAAAAAGAATTTAAGAATAAAAGAAAAACTTGGAAAATGTATTTAAAAGAACTAATTGGATCCTAGGAGATAAAGAAAACCAGAGCACCGACATAAAAAGAAAAAAAAGAAAGAAAAAAAAAAGGAACAAGAACAAAGAGTCTGTCTGTTTAGTTTGCTAAGAAAGTACTAATGAAGAACTGGATTAGATGCTGAAAGTTACTATGAATGGATTTACACGGAACTTTTGCTGATATTACGATGAGTATTTCCGACGATTATCTTTATGATCGTTGTAAATTGTTTCGAAACTGAGCCTCTATTTAAATTATTTTAGCCGTATAAATTCATATTCGCTATATCCGATATTAAGTGTCATTCAATGTACTTTTAAAATCATATAAAAAAAAATTTTAATGTTAATTTAATTTAAAGATTACGATAATGTTGATTATTTCCTTTACTTGGATTTCTATCGTATCGTCAACTTGTAATTAATGAAGGATAGAAAAAAAAAGAAAAAAACAAAAAACAAAAAAATCGCGGAAAAAAATAATAAAACATTATTTTTTTCTTTTTTTCTTATTTATTTAATAAAAAATCTTAATTGTCTAAGTCACCACGAAAACTATTCTTATGTACATGACGTCCTCAATTTGACATATTAATTCTACGTCATTAGCATTTCTTTGTCGTATAACTCGGCTATGCGAATTTGTAAATTTTCATTAATTATTCATCATGTTGTATGACTGATGGATTATGGCCGTTCAACCGATTGAATTTTCGTAAATAAATAAACAGACTATGTATTTATATAATTATTAAATAAATAAATTATTTGTTTATGATATTACGTACCATATATATATATATATATTTTTTTTTTATTATATATATATATATATATAAAATTTTTCTAAATTTGATACTATCTGGAGATTATTATGTCAGATTTGATAAGTTAATAAATTTGATAGATTAATTAAAATCTTTAACGTAAGTTATATCCGAGTAAACGATTTGGAATAAAAGTGACGTTGTTTCGAGCTATATAATAATGAAATTATAATAATAATTATAACAATAATAATAATTCAATAATAATAATAATAGCAAAAAAAAAAAGAAAAAAAAAAAGAAAGAAACAGAAAATAAAGAAAGAAAAGAAGGAAGAAAAAAAATTACTCACGTTTTCTTCAACCGTCTTCTTGATTTTCACACTGGCCTCGACTACTGTCTTGCCGGCCTTGTTCACAGCGCTGTACAAAAATCCTCCGAGGCTCTTCGCGCCTGCCAATGCTTTCGTTGAAACTGTGAAAAAGAATAACAGAGAAAAAGGGGGCCAAAAAAAATAAAAATGTTAAAAAAGTTTCAGGTGAGAGAAGGAGAAAGAGAGATATCCTTATAAAAGAAAATCGTGCTAAGAAAATTCCTTTTTTCATTGATTTGTAATCATTCGCACCTTATCCGTAAAAATGTAAGAAGTCAACATCTCTCTTTCTCTGTTTCTCTTTCTCTCTCTCTTTTCTTCTTTTCTTTTCTCTCTTTTTTTTTTTTGATCTATCAAGAAACGTAACGTAACGTAATGTACATTTCAACTCCTTTCAATTCGGTCAAACTAAGTGAGAGTTTTACGGAAAAACAGCTAGCCCGTAAGCTACAGAAACTTTCCATTACTTTTCACGATCTATCGAGATACGTATAGCAAGTTACTACGTACCTACTCACATGCATACTACGTATACGTACATACTTATACAACGTCTCGACTGTTCACGATAAATTACCAATGTGGAAAATGAAAAACAAATTTTACTTTCATTCTTTCTCTATGATCAATCGTAGAGAATAATACGTTATTTTTTTTTTTTTTAGTTAATATAAAAGAAAGAAAGAAAGAAAGAAAAGAGAAAAAAGAAATTGAAAGGGAAAGATATATACATATAAAAAAAAATTATTATAATAGAAACCTTTGAAGACTGTAATTATTCGATCGGATCGATCGTCCAACTTCGAAGAGGATCGATATTGCCAATCGATGGAGTGTCTCATCGTACGCAGCAACATTTTATAAAATATTTTTTCCCCGCTCTTGGAAATTATTCAAATCTTTTTCTTTCACTCTCACTCACTCTCTTTCTCTCTCTTTCTCTTTCTCTCTTTTCCAACTTCACACTTGTAATTACAATGCGATAAATGTAAATACACGTTGTACAATTTTTACGGCTGTGAAAAATCACAGTACTTTGTAATGGCGTGAGTTTTTGTAATTGAAAAGAAAACAAAAGTTAAATTATAGAACAAAAGGTTAGTGAAAGGAGCAAAGAATGTTGATAAAATGCATGGATCATAGCGAACGTTGTGGCTATCATCCTTCTATCTCTATTTGTCTGTCTATCTCACTCTCTCTCTCTCTCTCTGTCTCTCTCTCTCTCTCCTTCTCCCTTTTCCTCTTCCTCTCTTTGGATAAAAACCGAGGCCAATTTAATCAACCAAATTGAGTTTCGATTTACGTTATTTCAACTCTATTGTATTTATCTTTGTCTCTCTTTCTCTTTGCTTCAGAAACGAGTCAGTTTTGTGTCTCTTTTATAGCTCGTCATTCTATTTTTTATCTCTCTCCCACCCTCCTACTCTCTCCCTCTCCCAACACCCTCTTCTCTCTCTCTCTCTCTCTCTCTCTCTCTCTCTCTCTCTCTCTCTCTCTCACTATCTCTCTTGTATAAAATCATATGAGAATTAATGCAAACGAGTAGAAGCAAACATGTCGGAATTCATTTACCGCAACACTTAATTGCTTCCAGAGCAATGAGCTAGAACTTGGAAAGCTGCTTGATTTAGGTTCAAAACGTTCGACCTTATTATGAAAGAAAATTTACGATAGTTAGATTAAATGCATGAGCTGTTAACTTATATACGTGGAAGAATGTGTGTGTGCGTGTGTGTGTGTGTGTGTGTGTGTGTGTGAGAGAGAGAGAGAGAGAGAGAAAGAAAGATAGAGAAAAGAAGAAGAACAGAGAATGAAAGATATGTATTAGGGATATATTTGATCCTTTCCTGGCACGTTGTCAAAGGAGGTTTGGTGTTATTGCCAAAAGTATACTCGAGAATTTTCGTTGTTATGCGGCCAAATCTTGGTACGCCTTGTTGAACTCTGATTTCATACGAAAATGCCGTACGCAACCGCAACGACATAGTTTCTCACTTGCCTTTTAAAAACGATTTTAAAATAACGATTCGCAAAGATCCAAAATGAGGGAAAAAAAGGTATTTTGATGTGTTTCTCTCGCTTAGTTAGTTTTTACCATTAAAAAATTTCATTGTACAAGAAATTGACATATTTGAAAAAAAGGGAAGGAGACAAAGGAAAAGGAAAAGAAAAAGGAAAAGAATAAGAAAAAGAAAAAGAAAAAAAAACTTCAACACGTAGTCTATATTCGAAGGAAAAAAAAAAAAAAAAAGAAAAAGAAATAAAAGAAAAGAACTTCGAGAGAAAACCCTCAGAGATGCGACAACTTTTTCTTCTCGTAAGAAAAAGAGAAAGAGAGAGAGAGAGAGAGAGAGAGAGAGAGAGAGAGAAAGAGCGCGCACGAGAGAGAGAATAAACTTCTCGATCAAATTGAAAGTTTCTTGAGTTACGTGATACGATTGATCCTGAACGATAGCCCGATGAATACTAAACCAGATTTATTTAGCGAGATATTAGTTGAGGAGTTAAGTTAATACGACACAAGCAAAGAATACTGAATGGACAGATGTATGTATAAAATAAAGAAATATAGAGAACATATATAGATATACAGATAAATAGATAAATAGATAAATAGATAAATAGATAGATAGATAGATAGATAGATAGATAGATAGATAGATAGATAGATAGATAGATAGATGGATACATACATACATATATACATGAATAGATCGAATTAAAAGAGAAAGAAAAAGGGAAAGAGAGAAATGATTAGAAGAGGAAGAAGAGGAAATATGGGCAGAGAGGAGAGATGAACATATATACATAACTGATAAGCGATAACTATGATCCTAAACACGTGGAGAATGCGTTCGTGGCTATACATCGGGAGACAGGAATCGATCTAACAGACACAGCTGTTATCAATTTTCATATTTAATGTCAAAGGAAAATTATAATGGTCTACCTATATAGTATATAATATATACATATAATAAATATATATATATATATATATATAAAAACGTGGTTAACCATTATTGGGTGATACTAGATTGCGATCTTGTAGACAATTTCTTATGATCGTCTTATTAAAATGTAATCTCAGAAAATTTCCAATACGTTTCAAAAAATATTCAATGATTTTCAAATAACTAATATAATTTTTGTAATATTGTTAAAGTCGAAGGTTCAATCATATATATATATATATATATATATATATATATATATATATATATATATATCCTGTATAAGAAAATTAAAAAAGAAAGCATAATATACTTTTCCTATACCGATAGTCGAACTATTACATTCTTGAACGTAAAAGTTCTCTCGGTATATAGCAAAAACCATAAATAAATCGTTCTCGATCGCACTCGATAAAATCTTATATACTTCCAAGAATACTCAAACTGAAAATAGTCCCATTCTCTCTAACCATTACGATAGAGCCCTTTATATCTTTGTTAATGCTCAAAGGTAAAATACACGCTCGTGTTTACTATTATGCAATCCTTTTGATTGTAGAAAATCTACGTAAACAACGCGTTTCATGGAAATAGTTTCTAGCAATGACCTAAAAGTTTATAGAGATGAATAATGAAGGAGAAGAGAAATTGAGAAAAGAAGAATATTGGTGGCAGAGAAAAATTGGATGACAGAGAGAGAAAGAGACAGAGAAAGAGAGAGAGAGAGAGAGAAAATAAATTCGAAATCCAACATGATAGCTCTTTTTTTATTTGTTTTTTTCCTTTTCGATCTATATCGTGCTGGTGAACCCTTCTCTCTCTCTCTCTCTCTCTCTCTCTCTCTATCTATCTATCTATCTCTTTCTCTTCCTCTTTCTCTTTCTCTTTCTCTTTCTCTCTCTCAAAAGGGGAAGTAAAAAAGACTGAGTGACAGAATCGTCGAAGCGAGACGACTCTCGTAACATAGATTTCGAAATTGTATGACGTGCCGACGGACTCTTAATCAACGTCGACCTTGCACTTCCGCCTATCGCTGTTAACCTTGTACCAGTTTTCCTCGTCCAAAGAAGAAACGAAACCGTGCGAATCCATAACGCTCACCGACGACGAGGTAGAAATTCTTTCTCGTAGACTCTCTCGACTTCGCTCGAACAAATTTATATGCTTTAGCGATTACGAAAGGTGAAGAGAAATGAATTTCCTCTTAATCAATCGTGAAGGAGATTGAAAAACAACATTTACTATCTTTTTTATTTTTTTCTTGTTTTTTTTTTTCGACACGAATATTCGAAACACTCGAGTTATGAAGAAAGATATAATAGTTTGTTTCATACGTGTACGCGCTTGTAAGAGAAATTTTTCAAGAAAGATCTTATAAATAAAATTAAAAGATTCTCTCTCTCTCTCTCTCTCTCTCTCTCTCTTTCTCTTTCTCTTTTTGTCTCTCTTTCTCTCTTACTTCCTCTTTTTATTCTTGCATTACATTTTGAAATGATCAGATTAAGTCACCAGTTTTAGAATAAAAAAAAAAAAAAAAAAAAAAAAATATATATATATATATATATAGAGAGAGAGAGAGAGAGAGAGAGAGAGAATTCCTCTTAACTCTCACGATATTTTATTTTAACTGTCTTTTCCCTTTGGAAAAGGAATTATGGAATCTCATAATGGGAAAACGTGCTTATTGTTCAGAATTCAGAAGAAAAGAGAGAGAAAGAGAAAGATAAAGAGAGAGAGAGAGGGAGAGAGAGAGAGAGAAAGAGAATATATATATGTGTGTATGTAAGGAGATCGAAGAAGTTGAAATGCAATATAGCATTTTTCAAAATTAGAAATCCCTTGAAGGATTTCAAGTAATTCTCACATTTCAATTTATATATCTCTATTTTCGGATACCTTTCAGATACCTTCGACGTTTTTCCGTTCACGTTTGAGAAACAGAAATTCTATATGAAAATTTCTAGTCATCGATCAACATCGTACATATATTTTTTCACGAACATGGACCAACTCGAAGACAAGAAAGGAAAGACGATCGTCCTTTCCCTTTTTTCTGTATTCGAAGAAAATCCAAGCATGAAATCGAATCATAAATATTTCGATATCTCTCGCATTCTAACTCAAGTTGGGATGTTTTTTAATTTAAA